GGGTAGCCCCATACCAATGCCCCATGTGCTGTGGCGACGGCTGCTGACCATAGGGCATTCCCATCATGGGTTGCTGTGGCGGGCTGTTGCCCATATGGCATGCCCATCATGGGCTGTTGCCGCTGCTGTGGGTGCATCGGTGTTGAGTATGCCAGACATCATGGGCTGTTGCGGCTGTGGTGGCTGTTGTGGTGCCATTCCTTGCATGCCGCCGCCCATCATCATCATGCCTGGTTGCTGCTGCAGTGGCATGCTCTGGGAGCCTGGAGGAGGATAGGGGGCCGGGGGTTGATGAGATGTGGAGTGTTGTGTAGTGGAGTGTTGTGTAGTGGTGTGTAGTGGTGTAGTGTCGTGTTTGTTGTGTTGTGTTGTGTAGTGGTGTGTAGTGGTGTTGTGTTGTAGAGTGTGTGTCTCTGCATGGTGCGAGCGAAGTGGTTGCAAGTTGCAGGTGTTGTCGGCTGACCTTGCTGCGGCTTTGATGGTTCGCCAAAGACGCTGCCGGAGGTGGCGGGCTTCTTGGGCTGTAGTGGGGGAGGAGGGGAGGCGTGACGGGCTTCTTGGGCTGTAGTGGGGGAGGAGGGGAGGCGTGATGAGGCATTGGGGGTGAATGAATGAAGGTACGCGTGCGGACAACGGTGCACAGAGGCACAGGGGCACGCAGGCGCGCGCACGCACATTCACAAAAGCGCATCCACACACACACACACACACACACACACACACACATTCACAAAAGCGCATCCACACACACACACACGTACACACACACACACACACACATACACACACACACACACACACCTCCTCCTTGGAAGCGAGGGAGAGGTTGTCGAGGTCAATCTTCAGGCGACCAAAGTTCGGCTTGGATGCAGCGGACTTGCTGCTGGTGGTAGTCGCGGTCGTTGTAGCAGTTGTTGATGGTGCAGTGGTGGTGGTGGCGGTGGCGGTGGTTGGTGTCATCATCGACCCCATGTCCATCAGAGAAGCCGTCTGGTAGAAGGGTGGATGGGTGGATGCGTGAGGGGGTCGAGTGGTCCAATGAGCACCAGGGGAAAAAACAAACCAAAACAAAACAACGCACGTGCGCACACACACGATGCGTGCACGTTGAGCAAACACACACACACACACACACACACACACACACACACACACACACACACACACACACACACACACACACACACGCACACACACGCACACGAACAGATGCATTGCACCTGGTGCTGCTGTGTTGGAGCCATGGTGGACGATGATGACGACGAGGAGGCGCCAAACAGATCACCGAGCAAATCACCGCCACCACTCGACTGCTGCTGCTGTGCATTGGAGGTGGTGGGCTGAGGAGCTGCTGGTGCCGGGGCTGTGAATGCGCCAAAGTCGTCTGAGGCGGTGGGCCTAAAGTGTGGATGAGGAAGAGGGGGGGGGGGATGTGTGGAAACCGGGGTGTGTGGGTGAGGGCACATGAGGAGGAGAATTGCACGAGGGACGAGGACAACAGTGACACGTACGCGGATGCAAAGTTGGCAAAGTCCGTGTTGCCGGCAGTGGAGGGGGAGCTGAAGGCACCAAAGTCTGCAGGGTGTTATGGGGAGAGGGAGACAAGGTGAGGTGAGGTGAGGTGAGGTGAGGTGAGGTGAGGTGAGGTGAGGTGAGGTGAGGTGAGGTGAGGTGAGGTGAGGTGAGGTGAGGTGAGGTGAGGGAGACAAGGTGAGGTGAGGGGAGGTGAGGTGAGGTGAGGTGAGGTGAGGTGAGAGGTGTGATGAGCATGACGAAGGAGTGTTGTGCTAGAGCACACGACGCGACCACCTCCAATAGCAGCAGCATCTTCAGCATCATCATCGTCATGTGTGCGTGTGTGTGTGTGTGTGTGTGTGTGTGTGTGTGTGGACAGCGCTTACCGTCTGCCTTTGTGGTTGTGGCTGCTGCTGTTGCGCCACGCGGGTTGAAGTCTGCACCAAAGTCGTCTGGGTTGCTGTTGCTGTTCGTCGTTGTCGTGGTGTCATCGCCCAGAAGGTCAACTAGCCCGCCTGATGGGACGTGGGGATTGGACGGGGAAGAGAGGGGGGGGAGGCTATGACGTGAGGACGAGGTGATAGGGTGGTGATGTGTGGTGTGTGGTAGTGTGTGGTGCGGGTGTCAGGGGGTACGAGTCATGACAGCGTGCGATTACCTGCTTGCTTCGGCTCCTCCTTCTTGGCGCTGTGTAATGGTTGAGAGAGACAGAGAGGGGAAGGGAGGTGTGAGGGAGGGGTTACGTGTGGGGAGAGGGGATTGCGGGAACGATTGCGTCGTGATACTGAGCACATACATACACATGCACGTGCACAGACGGAAACACAGCAACACACGCAGAGATGCAAACACATACACATGGAGATGCAAACACACAAATACACAAATACACAAACAAGACACACGCACGCATACAAGACATACACACGATACACACACACACACACGCACCCCCTGAGCGCGGCAAAGTCGTCGTCATCGCCGTCGCCGCCCTTTTTCGTGTTGAGCTTGTTTTCCTCCCTGTGCTTGGCCACGCGTGCGCTGTACTGATCGCCGCGTGACGACGACGACGACGACTGGTCGACGCGCGCATCGTCCGCCTCTTCGTCGCTGTCAATGTCCCGGAACCGCGACCTGCAGTGTGTGTGTGTGTGTGTGTGTGTGTGTGTGTGTGTGTGTGTGTGTGTGTGTGTGTGTGCGTGTGTGTGTGTGTGTGTGAGTGAGTGTGTGTGTATTGGGAAAGGGGTTCGTGTTGAAGAACCCCATGAAGCAGACACTCGAACGCATTCAGGAATCGTTACACCACGCCGTGACGCCATATGCCAGTGCCGGCACCCCCACCTGCGGCTGCCGCCCATGTCGTCGTATCTGCGCGTCGGCGCCATGTCGTCAAACCGCCGCCCACCAGACATGCCCTGCAGGTGGTGGTGGTGGTGGAGGGGGTTGCAGGTGCAGGCGTGGTGGGGGGTAAGATGGTGCACGCAGGCACCGCACAGGGCGTCAACCAGAAAGAGTGTCAACACGAGTTGACACAACGCACACGCGCATGTATGCGAGTAGTTATGGACACATCACTCCATTGCAGACAAGCCCGTGCTGCCTCAGCCGCATCTTGCTTCACCCCTCGCCACCATCGCCTCCCCTCGCTCCGGCACTGCTTTGCCTCACCCCTGGGTGGTAGGATACGGAGGACGAGCCGATGCCCTTGAACTTGTCGCGGGTCTTGCGCGCCTTCTTCCGCTCCGCGTGCAGCATCTCGTCGTCCGCGAGCAGGTCGCAAATCTCCTTGGCCTTGTGGGCGACGTTGATGCCCTGGTCCTTGCCCTTCTCGTCAATGTACTTGAACCGCTCCAGCTGCCGCAGGTCATACACGTGGTCGCGCGCGCTGTCCACAACACGCGTCGTGCCGTTGCGGATCAGGTAGTGCAGCAGCAGCAGGCCCTGCAGTGGTTGGTGGGTGTGGGGGGGGGGGTTTTGTTGGTGAGGGAAGCGATGAGGGGGGGGGGGAAGGCGAGTGACGGTGTGCGAGAAAAAACGCAAACGCGAATGCAAATGTAAACGCGAATGCACACGCAAACGCGAATGCAAACACACACGCACACACGCACACACGCACACGCACACACACACACACGCACCTTGTAGATTTGACGCCAGTTCTTGCCCTCGCGGTCCTTGAGGATGCGGCGCCACAGCATGCCCATCACCTCAGGGTAGTCCTCGTAGCTGTACGTAGCCTGTTACGTGTGGGGGGGGGGATGCAGTGGTGAGAAGGGGACGCGCGCGGTGAACGAAACAACGTATGCGCACAGTGAGCCAACAACGCATGCGCAGTAAACGAAACAACGCATGCGCACAGTGAACGCAGCGACAGCAACACACGTACACACACACACACCAATACACACGCACGCACACACACCACAATGCACACACACACCTGGGAGAGTTCCGACATGAGGGTGCCGTGGGGGCCCCATGGCTCGTTGCCATCTGTGGCCTGGCGAACCTTGACCTCAATCTCGCTGTAGTTCATGGCGAGGTCAACCCTGCCAATGACATGAACACCACAACCATGCAACGCAACACAAACAGACAAACGAACGCATGTTAAGAGCTGTTGGTTCAGTGCGTGCATGCTTCTGTTGCTAATTGTGTTTTGTCTCTGCTCGTGTCCAGCAAAGCAACAATGCACACACACAGAGGACAACAACACGACGCCTTCGTCTACTCACGCCTTGTTCTTGAGGTTGTTGAACTTCTGCATGAACGCCATGGCTGGTTGTCTGTCGGAGAGAGGGAAGAGTGGGAAGGGAGGGGAGTGGTGTTTGCGATGGGATGAAGCGTCGTCTTTGACTGCTGCGCCTTTGTCTTTCTCAGCCACAGAATTGACGAAAAATAGTGGATGACATGGTGAATAGCAGTCAACATTTTTTTTATTTGAGGATGTTGGGGATGGTACATGATGGTGATGGTGGGATAAGATGGGACGTGCTGCTGCAACAACAAAGTCAAAACAAACACATACACCATGTACAAACACGTGCACACAAACACACACTCTCACTCACATAAACACACACACTCACATGAACACACACACACACACACACACACACACTGTCTCTCTCTCTCGCTCACAGTCTTCCTCCGCCATTCCGTCATGAGAAGTAGATTTGCTTCTCCTCCTCTTCAACCGTCTGCACGTGTCGCTTGACCTGCTTCTTTGGCTTCTCCGGCGGCGCAGAGCGGAACATAAGCTTCTTCCCCGTCCTCTTCTTCGGCGCGTCGTTGGCCCGCTGCTGCGCCCGCCGTAACCGCTCCTCCTGGTGCTTCTTCTGCGCCTGCAACTTCTCCTCGCGCAGCCGGTGCCGCCGTGCCTTGTCCTTGGCCTGGTGTGTGTGTGTGTGTGTGTGTGTGTGTGTGTGTGTGTGTGTGTGTGTGTGTGTGTGTGTGTGTGTGTGTGTGTGTGTGTGTGTGACGAATGGTTGAATAACTGTGCGCAATCACTGCAACGCACACACACACACACAAATGCATGCACACACACACAAATACATTCACGCACACACACGCACAGACATACACACATGCTCCTTCGCACCTTCTCTGCTGCTGCGAGCTGGTCTGGGGGCATGCGTTGCATCTTCTCAAAGAGCTCCTCCAGCTTGTTCTCGATGTTGGTCAGCATCTGCAGCGTGCTGATGCCGGCCTCGTTCTCCCCGATGCACGCGTGGTACACGTCCCCGACCCTGTGAAAGGATGGGAGGGGAGGAGGGCGAGGGGTGTGTGTTTGAGAGAAGGTGTGTGGTGGAGGTGAGGAGGGTGGAAGGGAAAGTGGGTGTAAGGGAGTGTTGCGTGCAAAATAGCACGCACACACATGTACACATGCACACACACACATGTACACATGTACACATGCGCACACGCGGCCGCCACTGCTTACTTCTGGTCAAAGTCTGTGAGTTCCTGTTCCTGCTCATCCCCGGACGCGGACGAGAAGAACCGGCACTTGTCCTTGAGCGCCCTCGCCTCCTCCAGCTCGTTGGCGATGTGCGTCTCCAGCTCGTCGAGTTGCGTCTCCACGGCCGTCCGTTCGGACTGCAGCGAGCGCTCCTCGTGCGCCAGCCGCTCCTTCAGGTCCTGCAGCGCTTCCTCCGTCTCCTGTGGGGAAAAGGGGGAGAGTGTGTGTTGAGGGGGGGGGGGCATCGTGTGTGGGGGGATTGTGTGTGTGTGTGCGTGCGTGTGTGCGTGCGTGTGTGCGGGTGTGTGTGTGTGTGCGTGTGTGTGTGTGTGTGTGTGTGTGTGTGTGTGTGTGTGTGTGTGTGTGTGTGTGTGTGTGTGTGTGTGTGTGTGTGTGTGTGTGAGTGCATGTGTGAGTGTGTGAGCGCATGTGTGAGTGCATGTATGAGTGTGCGTGTGTGTGTAAGTGCATGTGTGTGAGTGCATGTGTGTGTGTGAGTGCATGTGTGAGTGCATGTATGAGTGTGCGTGAGTGCATGTGTGAGTGCATGTATGAGTGTGCGTGTGTGTGTAAGTGCATGTGTGTGTGTTGTGGTTGCTGGAGCAGACT